CGGCGAGGCTTGGTCCGCCCGCCGCGCGCCCCGAGTCTGCGTGAGGGGCCTGAGCGCCCTGGGCGCGGCTGGGGGAGCCCCGGCAGCGGGGCGACCCCAAAGTCAAGACCAACGTAAGCCGCCCCCTTGGCAGCCGCCCTCACCTTCTCTTCTGCTCTGCCCCTAGGAGACGCCTTCATTCTTGTGTTCAGCCTGGACAACCGCGACTCCTTCGAGGAGGTGCAGAGGCTCAAGCGGCAGATCCTCGACACCAAGTCCTGCCTCAAAAACAAAACCAAGGAGAACGTGGACGTGCCCCTGGTCATCTGCGGCAACAAAGGTGACCGGGACTTCTACCGCGAGGTGGAGCTGCCCGAGATCGAGCAGCTGGTGGGCGACGACCCCCAGCGCTGCGCCTACTTCGAGATCTCGGCCAAAAAGAACAGCAGCCTGGACCAGATGTTCCGGGCGCTCTTTGCCATGGCCAAGCTGCCCAGCGAGATGAGCCCGGACCTGCACCGCAAGGTGTCGGTGCAGGACTGCGAGGTGCTGCACAAGAAGGCGCTGCGGCGCGGGAAGCTGCTGCCGGCCGGCGGCCACCCGGGGGACGCCTTGGGCATCGTGGCGCCCTTCGCGCGCAGGCCCAGCGTGCACAGCGACCTCCGGTACGTCCGGGAGAAGGCCAGAGGCGGCGGCCAGGCCAGGGACAAGGAGCGCTGCGTGATCAGCTAGGCTCCCCGCCCCCGCGCCGGCGACCGCCGCGTTGTTTAAACGTCAAATCTAAGTCCCGGCCAGCCCCGTGCGCCCTGGGCCACGGGCGCGAGTGCCCTGCGTCTTCCCTCCCCAGGCCCGCGGCCCCACCGGCTGGGGAGGCGAAAACAGCTGAGGGCGGGTCATCTGCTCTGGAAGACCCGGGTAATAGTGGGACTTCCCCCACCGCTGACTGCCCATTGGCGCCCGCCACCCCCACGACCTGGGGGGCACAGGCCCAGCAGAGGGCGAATTCGCAGGGTTCCTCAGAGACGTGAGAACTGGGAGGTGGGTGTGTGGGAGTTCATTAGCCACTGTTAGGCTTCCAGAAGCCCGTCCTGCCGGCTGGAGGGTTAAGTAACTACCGGCATGAACTTGACTGGGATTCTGGGTTGCCATGACAGCCGGCAAAAACCAGCTAAGGGGTGCGGGTGAAATCAGCCAAGTGGTTTGTTTACCTGTGTGTGTGAAACTGCACAAAGGAAAACACAAAACAAAACTTGCACTTTAATAGTAGTTCTGGCGTCGTCATGAACATGAACAAAGTCTTATTCAGGTGTTTATACTGTAAAACAGTCTTTAGTTACTATTGTTATTTGTTATTTTAATATAAAATAATTTAAAATGAAGGTCCATGGTTTCTTTGCTTTTAGAAACAGCTGGAAGGGAAGGGTGAGGAGGGAGGGGATGGGTTTCTACTTCAGTGCTTTAGGCTCCCCTTCCCCAGACCTGGGAAATCACCCTGGCATTCTGAAAACAGCTTCAGCTCTCCTGGGAGAAGAGGCTCCAAAAAACCTCTAGACAAGGCTGAAGCCCTTCTACTTGGGGAATTGGTCCTTAGACATCTAGGACAAAAATAAAGGATTTCAGGGTCCCCCCTAGACATGCATCTGTCTAGCCATCTACCTGCTTAGTTTCCCTAGCCCAGCCTCAAAGGGCCCCTGGGACTGTGCCCAACTGTTTTGTCCTATACTCAGTGCAGGCCTAGGGTGACAAAAGGTCATCAAACCGGGAACTCTGAGAGGGTTTGAGGTGTCCCTCGGCCCTGCTTTCACAAGTAAGTTAATAGAGCCTTGAGAGGCTGATCTGGTGGTAGGCTGGCGCAGGACCCTGGTATGGGGCTGCTCTCCAGGATCTCCCGCATGGCTGTCTGGAGACAGCTGCAATCACCCAGCCTCCAGTGTCCCTCCAACTCCAGAAAGCACTTTCTGCCTTGGGTAGGGGTTCAGTGTCCTTCTCTACTTGCTGTTTCCTTTTCTCAGCAGTTGAGGGAACCCATTCTCAGCTCACTTAGGACCATCTTTTTTTTTAATAATATTTTTATTTTTAGAGAGGGAGAGGGATAGAAATAGCAATGAGAAACATGGATCAGCTGCCTCTTGCACGCCCCCTACTGTGGATCAAGCCCCCAATCTGGGCATGTGCCTTGACTGGAATAAAACTGGTGATCTCTTGGTTGGTTCATGGGTTGATGCTCAACCACTGAGCCACACAAGCCGGGAGGGACCACTCTTAATTGTGCAAGCTTGGGGCAAGTGACACCCGCCAAACCCCAAATTCTTTGCCAGGAAAAATACAGAGGACACCCTTTACATGAGGTTGCTGTGAGAATTAAGTGTGAGAAAGACAAGTGTCACATGATTTCTCATATGTGGAATCTAATAAAAATAGACTGAGACAGAAGCACTGAACAGACTGAGGAATCCCAGAGGGAAGGAAGGTGGGGGTAGGAGGGTGGCTGGGGAGATACTGACCAAAGAACTTATATGCATATATGCATAAACCATGGACACAGACGACAGTGTGGTGAAGGCCTGGGCTGGGGTGGGGGAGAGGGTCAATGGGGGAAGAAAGGGGACATGTGTAATACTTTCAACAACAAAGATAAATTAAAACATAAAAAAAAAATTCCGAGGAAGGAGATAGTATTGTCATGAGAACACGCTCTGTGGAAAGAGGGCTTTGAGGTGGATTACCAAAGCTTTAGGTGAAAGGCCAGAGGCAAGTGGCATTTGGGATGGGAAGACGCAGCGGCATCTGGGGTGAGCTCAGCTGAAAGTGTATCAGGCTGGACACGCTTTGGGTTGGGGACGGGAGAAAGTCAGCTTGGAAACGCAGGTTAAAGCCAGATGGTGTGGAGCTCCGAAAACTGAGCNAAGATAAAAAAATGAAAATAAATGCCTGCTGCCCACCCTGGCTGGTGTGGCTCAGTTGGTGGGGTGTCATCCCGTGTACCAGCCAGAGCACATGCCTGGATTTCCAGCTTAATCCCTGATGGGAGGACATGTGGGAGGTAGCAGATTGATGTGAGAGCGGAACACTGATGTTTTCCTCTCTCCCTCTCCCTTCCTAAAAAAATTAATTCAAAAAAATCTTTAAAAAAAAGTGCCTGCTGCCTTGCTGGGTCTGGCTCTGCGGTTGAGCATCAACCTAGGATCCAGATTGTGGTTTGATTCCTGGTCAGGGCAAATGCCCGGGTTGTGGGCTTGATCCCCAGTTGGAAGTGTGCAGGAGGCAGCTGATCAATGACTCATTATTGATATTCTACCTCTCTCTCCCCCTCTCCCTTCTCTCTGAAATCAAGATATATTAAAATAAAAAAGGGGGGGGTGCCTACTACCCTAGCTGGTTTGGCTCAGTGGTTAAAGCACTGACCTGGGGACTGAAGAGTCCCGGGTTCAATTCTAGCCAAGGGCATGTACCTTGGTCGCAGGCTTGATCCCCAGTCCCAGTCAGGGGCGTGCAGGAGGCAACCAATCAATGCGTCTCTCTCACATCTATGTTTCCCTATCTCCCTTCCACTCTCTCAAAAACAATGAAAAAAAAAAAAATCCTCAGGTGAGGATTTAAAAAATAATAATAATAAAAAGTGCCTGCCATCCAATAATCCCAATAATTAGGTTCAAGAAGGTGCTCAGCCCTGTAAGGGGCATTCAATATTGTTCCAAGGAAAGGATTTCAACCTTGCTCTGGTGAGGGCTGCTCCCTACCAGGGACTAAACCCATTTCTGTAATGAAAGATGGCCCTTGGGGCCAATCATGGGCAGGCAGGATGACCTACCAGGCCAACTGAGCCCTTGGTGACAGATGCTGGCTCCTGAGAGGAGTTACTCTGTTTCCACGTTGGTTTAGCTATGTATGTACTGGGGGGCTGGGAGGGGTGCGGAGTGGAGGTTGTCACAATTTGTTCTGTCTTCTCTAAACAAAGTGAACATATTCAACATCCAAGACACATCCTACTATGAATTTCTCAGTGCAAAAGCCAAGCGGTCCTGAGAACAGAGCAAAGTTCTAATGATACTCTTGAAAAGCAACACAAGTGATAACTGACATTGTAGCCTTGTGGAAAGACCCCGTGGCCCTGTATTTCTATATGCTTTGTGGTTCATGGTATTTGATTAGAGCCTTAAAACCGGCCCACACGCTACTCTGAAATTTCAAGAAAATAACTGATTCAGTTAAATAACAGTCCCAGGTAGAAGTCTAATAGGTGACTACCCACTTAAATTCAGAGCCTGCTCTTCTGTCCAGAGCCGTGGAAACCTGATACCCCTTTTCACACATCCCTGAGTTCCCAGTGTGCCTGCCATTTTCTGACAGGTGGCTGCAAGTCCACGTGACTGGAACTCCTGCGAAAAACATCTTCAACCAACCCATCAGTACCTGCCAACAAGGTCAGGCAGCAGGCATCTGTTAAGCCCCTGAACTGGTCAGCATAGGTTACGCACTCACCCATTTCTAGATTTAAACAATATTCGGTTACTATTCTCACTTTATCCTTAAGAGGCAAGGGAACAGTATGCAAATAAAACATCCCACCTGCAGGAAATTAGGGGCATTTGTAAACATTTTATGGACCAGAACTTGGCTGCATAACTGCTGGGTTTAGCTTGCCCCGCCCTTTAGAACTGAAACAGAACTATATGGTCATACCTGGCAAAGGGACCATCAGAACTGCCGCCTAGAGCTGTCCTTCTCTAAACAAAAAGCACATTATGAACTGCTGTTTGCATTGCAGTAATGTTCGTGGTTGACTCTTTAGGGAGAAGGCCAGAGAGGGAAATCATTTTTTAAACCAAGGCAACGGGAATCTGAAATGCTGGAAGAGGCAAGGTCTGCTGACCTGGAAGCCTGTCTGCACCTGTGTAGAAACAACACTGCCCTCCAGCCCCATGGGAGGTGTGAAGTGTTGGGCCATTCTTGGGCATTAAATGGCTAAATGAGATAGACGCCAGAAGGTGACAGGAGACAAAGGAAGCAAGAGCTAAAAGTAAAGAATATGTAGATGGCAGAGAACCTGGACAAGGGGCCATTAGGCAGGGCTCTGGCTGACACCCCCATGGTCACAGTTACATTCACTGGCTCAAATATTAAAAGAAACAAACTGTTTCAGGAGAAAAAGCCACCCTGTAGTCTTTCAAAACAATGTTCTCACAGCCTTCCTTTACCAAGTTAAATCCATGTCATATGAGTACAGGCCTCATCTGTCCAGTGAACTCTATGCAAAGGTTTCATGGCACTGTGGTTAACAGAACAATATGTATCTGGTACACACTGATAATATCCAGGGGGTGAGAAGAGAGGGAGGCAGGAAGCAAAGAGGAGATGCCTCTCTTCCTACTTTGCTCTTCAGCTATGCCAGTGCAGCCCAAACACACAGCAGATAGCCACTCCCAGAGGTAGAGGTAGAGGCCTCCATCCCTTTTGCAGCCTGCAGGAACACTCTTATTTCTACTAGCTGGCACTCCTGTTATTATGCATCTAGGCATATGGAGATATATAAGGAAGCCCCAACAAATCTAAGTTCCTGGCTGGCTCCTCCCAGAGTCAATGCTAATTCAGCCAAGAAATTAGTACAATAGCCCCTTCCCCTTGTCAGCTATAAAGTTCAGAGCTGGGGTTCGAAAGAACCACACTTCACAAAGAACCACACGGGGGGTGAGAGTGGCAGCAATAGGCCATTTGCTCTTCCGTTCCTTCTCGGGCAATCCTAAAAGCTGGCCTCATCTACTCCTTGGGGATCTCAAACATACAGAGGCTCTTGTACTTTTGCAGAAGTTCATTCTTGGTCCTGACTTGCTCCCGGAGGCTGTGCAGCTGTTGCTGCTGCTGTTCAGGGCTCAGGTGGATGCCAGGCATGGTGCTGATGACCTTCCGCATCTCCTGGAACTTGGTTTTGAGGGAGTTCAGGTCATGGTGGATGTCTGGGCTATCCTTGTCCATGCTGCGGGGTCAGAGGGTAGTCATTAGCATTCGCGCTCAGATGGGGACAACCCCTGGCTCCCCTCCTCTGCACCCCACAGAACCTGCTGTCTTCCTACATTATCTTTTAGAACGCTTTATTTTCTGTCTGTCCCCTTACTAGGCTGTGCACCCCCCAGAGGACAGGGACTGGTTCTTTCTCATACAGCCAGCCTTAAGGCAGGCATGTGTCAGTTGTCCAGTAAAAGCACCCCAATGCCTAGCAGTGCCTGTGCAGCCCTTCTCATAGCAGGCTTGCAAAATTAGATGCTTAACGTCTATTAGCTAAGAGGGCAGGGGCTGTATCTGCCTCATTTGCAGCTGTATCCCGAGTGCCTGGTCCAGGCCCTGGGCACTTGGGACACTCAAGTAGCATTTGTTGAAAGAGTGAATGCTTGGCAAATAAATTCATAAATGTCTGTTGAATGAACAAACTATCACCAATATTAGGTGAAAAATTGCAAGCAACATTTGCTGAAATACATTTCTTCTCATTTCAGCCATTTCCAGGTCAATCGGGAGACTATCAGCTACCAATAGCTAATTTTAGCTGATGGTTTGATGCTTGAATCTGTTAACATAAAGACTAATTTCCACAGAACTATTCATAAATTTTAAATTAGAAACTATTGTACATTTTTCAGAAGGTATGAGCTCTCTCCTACCATAGTTACGTAAACTCCTTCCTTTAGGTCAAACTCATTTTAAAGGCAGGATCCTTCACTTCACCTCACAGCTCTTATTAGCTGTCCAGAAATCCATGCTTTCCTGTCACTACTAAATTAAAAACAAAACAAGAGCAAAAACCTTTACCTAAGGTCAAAGAAACAGCCTGGCCCAGCAGGCATGGCTCAGTGGTTGAGCATCAACCTAGGATCCAGGAGATCGAGGTTTGATTCTGGGTCAGGGCACATGCCCAAGTTGCAGGCTCCATCCCCAGTGCAGGGCATGCAGGAGGCAGCCGATCAGTGATTCTCTCATCACTGATGTTTCTCTCTCCCTCTCTCTCTCCCCCCACCTTCCTCTCTCAAAAATCGATAAAGATATATTTTTTCAAAAAAAGAAAAAAAAAAAGAAACAGCCTGACAGTTGCTCCTACACTTTTTTAAAATTTTAGTAGTGGATAAGGTGGTTTTTTATTTTATTATTATTATTATTTTTGTTAATCCCCACCCATGGATATTTTTTCCATTGATTCTAGTGAGAGTGGAAGAAGGTAGAGAGGGGGAGAGAGAGAGACAAGGGCAGGGTACCTTCAACTCCAGTATGCTCCTTTGACTAGGAATCGAAACCTTGACCCTTTGGTGTATGGGCCAACGCTCTAACCACTGAGTCATGCTGGCCAGGGCTTTTTAAAAAAAAGTATGTTTGTTGCCCTGGCTGGTGTGGCTCAGTGGTTAGAGCATCGGCCCACACAGTAAAGGGCCTTGGGTTCGATTCCCAGTCAAGGGCATGTACCTGGGTTGCAGGCTGGCTCCCTGCCCCCAGTCGGGGCACGTGCGGGAGATAACCAGGTGATGTGTCTCTCTCGCACTGATGTTTCTCTCTCTCTCTCTCTCTCTCTCTCTCCCTCCCTCCCATCCTTCCACTCTCTCTGAAAAGCAATGGAAAAGGTGAGAATTAACAACAACTATATGTATATGTATATGTATATGTATATGTATATGTATATGTATATGTATATATGTTTTTTTAAAAAATTTAATTTTAGAGAGAGGAAGGGAGAGGCAAGGAAGGAGAGAGAGAGAAACATCGATTGGTTGCCTCTGTAAACACACCAAGGATCAAGCCCACAACGTGGGTATGTGCTCTGACTGGGAATCAAGCCAATGTCCTTCTGCTGCATGGGACAACACTCAACTACCTGAACCACACTGGCCAGGGCTGGATAAGCTTTTGAAAACAAGTAGTTGAAACTAAAAAACTAAAAGCCAATTCAGTAGGCAGTTCTAAATGTCATCATCCATTGAGGTGTAAGAGGGAGCAACTGTCAATGATCTTTTATTTTTTATTATTAAAAAAAAAAAAATCTTTATTGATTTCAGAGCGAGGAAGGGAGAGAGAGAGAGAGAAACATCAATGATGAGAGAGTCATCCATCTGCTGCCTCCTGCACGCCCCTGACTGGGGATTGAGCCCACAACCTGGGCATGTGCCCTGACCAGGAATCGAATCTTGATCTCCTGGATCCTAGGTCAATGCTCAGCCTCTGAGCCACTCCTGGCTGGGCGATCTTAAAAAAAAAAAAAAAAAAAAAAGGTTCCTCCCTAATGGGAAATTTCAACCCAGATGGTACTAATTCATATTTATTATTCATCCTTTCTCTACTTATGCAGACAGAATATCCATCTTTCCTGGTGATCCATCAGTTACAGCTCATACCTGACAAACAAGATGGCCACTAGGGCCTGTTCACTATTTAGCAATAGCTCTAACTCGGAAACAAGATATGCAGAACCAATTATTTATTCTAAGGAATGAAGAGCCAAACACTTCTTGTGGTCATTTGAGGCCCTCAATTTAGATATGCCCACAATTAATGGTGTACCTTCTCTCAGTTTCTAGGGAGAAGTATTCTTAGAGCTGTAAATCATTTGGAAGGAAGCAAATAGGGAACATGTTTTACTTTATTCTTTTAGGTCTCAGCTCAGTCCCACAACTCTGGACAGAAACCATCTGGACTTCTGAACTCATTATACTTGGACAGCATATGTGCTAACACACTGTTACAGATTTAAGTTCCAAGGGAGTTTTGAAATTACAGTTTTAAGAAAATTGATTAACCTCACATGAAACTGAAAGGACACAGTAAAAACAAACAAAAATATATAAAACAAAACTTTGGAAGGAAGTTATGACAACCCATTCTGGAAGCAAATGTAACCTGGCCCCAAAGAATTTTTAATTCTGAAAGTAAAAAGTGGACCATGTTTAAGGTGCTCATTTCTGAAAACCCCCTAATCTCAAGGGTTGCCCATTCTTTACCTGGTGAATTTTTAGTAAAGGAGGTAGTCGTTAGATAATAAAGAAAGAGCCATATGAAAAGTACAACTGGACATACACAGGAAAGACCATTGATGACAGGGAGAACATGGACATCTGCAAACCAAGCAGAGAGGCCCCCGAGGAAACCAACCCTACCAAAGCCTTGATTTCAGATTTCTGGCCTCCACAATTGTGAGAAATTTCTGCTACTTAAGTCAACAACAACAAAAAGCCCAACTGGGGGGAGCTGAGCTGAAACGGGGCCACACAGACCACAGCCAGGCCCCCTCTGCAAGCTCCTGAGCCTGCCCTAGTTGTGGAGGTAAATAGCATGAACTCCTGCGAGGAAAAAAACACTCTTCAGGAACCGGCTCAGACAAGTGGGAACCTGCTAGGCCAGGGTGACTGTGAAACACTCAAGCCAAAAGAGAAGAGACAGGCCCCAACACTGAGTGAATAAAGGCAGAAAGCTCCAAATGGGCCTGCCTTTGTGTCATTGTCTAACTTTAGAAAGGAAAAAGGAGACTAGGCCAGGTTGAGAAGCACAAAAATCACACAAAGAAGAGCAAGGTTAGGGCACTTTGGTCCCACCCACTGTCATTTTTAAAAGGTGGACAAATGCCCTAGCCAGTGTGGCTCAGTTGAGTGTCATCCCATGCACCAAGAGGTCAGGGCACATGCCCGGGTTACAGGCTTGATCCCTGGTAGGGAGCGTGCAGGAAGCAACTGATCAATTTTTCTTTCTTCTCCCTTCCCTACTCTCTAAAAAGAAAAAAAGGTGAAGTATTACCACAGCTATAGCTTGACTGACAGGCCACTTCCTGACAGTCTTTGTGCACATCTGGGTGATGCTCAGCATCACTCCAGCAGTGGACACAGACATTCTGTATTTGTGTCACCAGACTTCGGGGCAACCATCACAGATGGCTCTAAGAACCATGTTTAGTATAGGTGTTAATAGGTACGGCACAGCTTTAGTTCTTTAGTATAGGTGCTTTGGGACTTGAAAATGCAAACTGGCCACAACTGAGCAGAAGTGTGTCCACTGGCAGCTTAGAAGTACAAGGAACCCACTAGGTAACTGAAGCCAACCTCCTCCCAAACCTCTCGGTGGCATATGACTCAGTTTCCCATTTCTTTCTCCTCAAAACTTCCATCCCCTTCAGCCTCATGCCCCCAGTGTCCTAGGTGCCCCATCTTGGGACCAGTCCTTCTCACCCTCTCCTTCTCCCATGCTAACTTCAGTGGCTGGCATCTTTATAAGCCAGTTTCTTTTTGTTGTTTTTTATTATGACAGTAATAGTTGCATGAGGGGAAAAATTAAAATGACAGACACCAAGGCTTAGAAAAGTTCCTCTAATGCCACGTCCCAGAGATAACCTCTGTTAACACATGGTATATGCTGTTTTAGATTCCTTCATAATATACAGCAACAGCCTTGACCCATATGTTCAGTAGTTAGAGTGACAGCCTGCGCACCAAAGGGTCGAGGGTTTAATTCCCAGTCAAGGGCACATACCCGGTTGCAGGTTCAATCCCTGCCCTGGTCTGAGTGCATGCGGAGGGCAATCAATTGATTTGTCTCTCTCACATTGATGGTTCTCTCTCCCTCAACCCCATACCCTCCCTTCCACTCCTTCCAGAAAGCAATGGAAAAAATATCCTTGGGTGAGGATTTTAAAAATAAATAAATAAAAAATAATAAAAAATACACACACACACACATATACAGCAACATACAAATACACACTTAATTTTTTGTTTTGACCATGCTACACACATGGTTCTGATTCTTGCTTTTCCCCCTGAACAATGCATCTTGGATGTCTTTTCATGTTAACACATATACAGTTACACAGCTGAATTATTTGGCTGTTGATGGGTGTTTGAATGTTTGCAATTTATCACTTGCAATCTGAGTGACAATGAATGTTTTATACCTATATCTGTATGTTGTGCAAGTATTTTAATAAGTTCCCAGAAGTGGGATTTCTGGGCTAAAGGTTATGTGTATTAAAAATTTTGACAGATTATCAAATACACTCCAAAAAGACTGTACACTCCCTGTGACCACAGATACCACACTTGCTCCTCACACCCTCGACAACATCGGCCATCTCTTATCTAGCGGCCAGGTGTATTTCTCTGCTCCAGCTCTGCTAGCACTGGGCCCTTGCTTTTTTTTATCTACTCACTGATTTACATGTGAACAACATACTTTTAAGGCAGGAACAAAAAGAGGTTCTGCTGTTAAAAGAAGTTTAAAAAAGCACTGCCCCACAAAACAGCCCAGAACGTGTCCATCTGCTTCCAGCTCTTCAAGAGCTGCTGAGAGCTCCTTGAAGCCCAGCCCAGCCCAGCCATCCCTCCTGAAATTCAGCTTCCTTGTTCCCACAATTACTATTTTCTCCCTGGAGACCTGCAAAGGTCCAAAGTGAACTCAGTGCCTCCTCACCATGCCCCAAATCAGATAAAAGGCACCCCATCCACACGGCTATGGTGAGCTCGAAACACAAGATTCTGTGTACTCTGATTTTCACCCAGCCATCAGTCCTGCCAACTCCACCTCCTGTATCCTTCAAGTCCCCCCGCCTCCTCCTTGTACTGTCACCAGTTTCCCACAGACCCAGGGCTTCTCTTCTTTAACCATCTGTTCCACCAAACTTTACAAAACTTCAGTCTGCGCTAAAGAACTTCAGATAGTTACCTCACTGCCAACAATACCTGCCAGGTAGGTTCACTTCGAAGGGAGCCCCCCAGGCCTGCCCACAAGAAGCCTCTAACCTTTCAACACCCCCACTTCCCAAGACCCAGGGTAAACGTGCCGCCTGGCACTGCGCACGCTAAGTAACCGCTTGCTCACCTGCCTCCCTCACGGAGCCTGTGTTGCAGCAGGTGCTGGTAGGTTATGCTGAAGGAACAGATGAAGTGGCAGAGAAGAGGACAGGCCCAGAAGTAACTCTTCAAAACAGTCTAGAGACGTTCCCTATCTGCGTGCTCACCCTTTCCGCTGGGACTTGGCTGAAGGAGAAAGTGAGTGGCCGAGAGGGCTGCAGTAAAATGAGGAGACAAGTCCGTGGGGCCAAGGGCCGTTCCGCAGACTTCGTTACTGCGGAGGCTGCCTCCTGCCCAACCCGACAGGCCCCAGCTGGCAAGGAAGGCTGGCCAGGTTAAAACAGGCACTTGTGTAGGAAGAAGCAGGTCGGTAACACCCCACTCCCAGGAAAGAAGCCTTACCGGGGCTCTGAGGTCTTGCTGACCTACCTCAACAACAAATAAACTTGTTTTAAGCAATGTGGCCCCAGACTAATGGTTACAGGACAAAGTTGTGTGTTCTTCACTTGAACTACCTTTGTGGTATCAAAGATGATGGCTCCCCTCCACCTACCCAGCAATATCAAACTAAAATATCAAACTAAAAAATCAAATTAAAAAATGTTTAAGTACCCGTGTTGACAGAATACTTTTACTAGGTGAGCCAAAACCATCAGGCAAGACAGTGACAACTGCAATCCAGAATTCCTAGGCAGGGACACTTTGTTCCAGACTAGATTAATTTGGCAAGTTTGAGGAAACAAAAATAATTTTCCCCGGTCCAACAGGCCTCATTTTACCCTCCTTTATTATGTACTTCTATAATGTGGCTTCTATACATATCAGGAAAGGTCTCAAATAGCTGGGCTCTACAAAATGTCTTACAGGCATAAAAATGAGATTTTTCTCTTCCCTTTGCTCATTATTTGAAAATAACACAAATGTGCAGTTTTAACTGTTTCATTTAACTTTGGGGAACACACTAGGAAGGATGAAAGTGGTATGGGCTATGGAACTTCTAAACCGGGCAGGGTGCCCCTCAGCCAAGAGCACTGCAGGAGCCAGGAGCTTACTCGGCGGGAGGAGGTGGGACCTGATCAAGTCCTTGAAAATATGTGGTATTTCCCTGGGCAAAGAGAGGGCAGAAAGGCACACTAGCAGAGGGTCTGGAGTGTGCACAAGTCCAGATGACTCCACCCACTCAAATCTGGGCTTTGTTGCATAGTTCAGGCAGAAGATTTGATGATGGTCTATAGAGATCTCTGGATGGAGGGCTAAAAGTTGGCAAAAACAATTTGGAAAGAGCTCTAGAGATTTTTGAACTGAGAAAAACGAACCTGTTAACATGCACAGGATGAACTAGAAAGAGAAGATAAAGGCAAAGAGACAAATTAAGAAGTGTGTCTCAATGGTTGAGCATCAACCTAGGATCCAGGAGGTCAAAGTTTGCTTCCGAGTTGAGGCCGCGTGGCCACGTTGTGGGCTCCATCCCCAGTGGGGGCGGCGTGTGGGAGGCAGCCGATCAAGGATTCTCTCTCATCGTTGATGTTTCTATTTCGCTCTCCCTCCCCCTTCCTCTCTCTGAAAGCAACACACACACATAGATAGATAGGTAGATAGATGATAGGTAGGTAGGTAGGTAGGTAGATGATAGATAAAGAAGTGATTATAAGATCCAAAAATGAGGTTAGAAGACCTGGACCATGAGTGGTATCAACAGGCCCATCGGAAGTAAAGCAGCAGATTAAAGCCTAAATGTTCTACTAACCAAAAGCATCATGCATATCACAGGGGTTACTTAGGAAACAGTCTGGGAAAGGTAAAGATGCCACAGGTAAATACAAGAAAGAGGACAGAGAGAAGACTACCCCTGAAAGACAACGAACTGTACCATGAATATCTGAGAATTAGAACAGTTTGGTACTGGAGGAGAAGACAATGTCCAGAAGATGATCAGAAAATGTGGAAAGTCCGTGTATGATAGGGAGGCAGCTTAAGCAGGGAAAATAATAAATATTCAATAACAGCAGTGGAAACATGGCCTAACTGGGGAAAAGGCTGGACCTCTCCCTTACTCTTTCCATCAAAATAAACTCCAGAAGCATCAAAGAATTAAAAGTAAAGAATGAACCTGGATGATGTGGTCCAGTGGATTGAGCACTGTCCCATGGACCAACAGGTTCCCAGTTCGATTCCGGGTCAAGGCGCATGCCTAGGTTGTAGTCTTGATCCCCAGTAAGGGGTGTGCAGGAGGCAGCCAGTCAATGTGTCTCTCTCATTAATGTTTTTATCTCTCTCTCCCTCTCCCTTCCTTTCTATCTAAAAAAATCAATGAAAACAAATTTTTTTTTTTTAAAGTAAAAAATGAAACCATAAAAATCCTAGAAAAAAGGGATCAAGTATCTATCATATTAGAGTGGGAAGGCCTTTCTAACTAGGACCAAAACTCAGCAGCCACAAAGGAAAATCTTTTTTTTTTTTTTTAATGAAGGTTGTTTTTTTTGTTTGTTTTTTAACATGTCTTTATTGATTTCATAGAGAGGAAAAAAGGAGAGAGATAGAAACATCAATGATGAGAGTCATTGATCAGCTGCCTCCTGCATGCCCTGCACTGGGGATCGAGCCCACAACCTGGGCATGTGCCCTGACCAGGAATCGAATCTCCTGAATCCTAGGTCAATGCTCAATTGTTGAACCACGCCGGCCAGGCCAGCCATAAAAGAAAATCTTAACAAATCTGCCTATATTAAATGATATGCTTCTAAACAACAACAACAAAACCCCCAAGTCAAAAGAAAAGCAACAACTCAGGGAAAATATTTCAAATATGCTTGAGAAAGGCATACTTTCCTTATTGTGCAACGAGCCCATAGAAAAAGAAGTGACCTAATAGAAATATGGGCAGTTTTATAGGAAAAAATAAGAAATGACATATAAAGTTGCACATGAAAAGATGCTTTACCTCATATCATAAATGCCACAGATTGATATGATGTATCATTTCTGACCTATCAGATTAGCCAAGATTAAAAAGTTAATGGAGCCCGGCCAGATGTGGCTCAGCAGTTGAGCATCGACCTAGGATCCAGGAGACAAGGTTCGATTCCTGGTCAGGGCACATGCCTGGGTGGCGGGCTCGATCCCCAGTTGGGGGCACGCAGGAGGCAGCTGATCAATGACTCTCTCATCATTGATGTTTCAATTCTCTCTCACCCTCTCCCTTCCTCTCTCTGATACCAATAAAGATATATTTTTTTAAAAACCACGTTAACGTAGATAGCCCTGGCCTGTGTTGCCCAGTGGTTAGAGCGTTGGCCAGCACACCAAAGGGTCATAGATTTGATTCCCGGCCTGGGTCAGGATGCATGCAGAAGGCAACCAATCGATGTCTCTCTCACATCGATGTTTCTTTCTTTCTCTCCTTCTCCCTCTCCCTCTCCCCCTTCCTTCCGTCCACTCTCTCTAAAATCAATGGAAAAATATCCTTGGGTGAAGATTAACCAAAAAAAAAATTAATGGTGATAGAAGAAGTTGGGGAAAGACACAAATCGGTACATACTTTCTGAATTTGCTAATAGTGATCAAAATGTTAAATTCACAAAATCTTGTTGCGAGAATCTTACCCTTTGGAGACTCTTAAGCTTTTGTGAGATGGCATCTACAAAGGAGTTCACTGCAGTGCTTACTACGACAGCAAAATTCTAGAAACAATGAAAGTGTACCTGAGAGGGAACTGTTTAAATAAATGGCATATTCATAAAGTGGAACATAATGCAGTTTGGGGACAAGGGAAGGAGCTCAGAGGAGTGGAGGGAGAGGCTCACTTGCCATTTTATATATCTACGGGCATTCTGAATATCTACAATTTTAAAATATATATATTTTTATTGCTTTCTGGGTCACAAATTTGTGGGCGATTTTAGGTTAATTAAAGCAATCCAGTCTACAGGACTGTTTTGGAGAAAGAGCTAAAAAGATGAAGCACTTTAAATTTAGCACTAGCTTATCAAAATTTAAAGCGAGTATACGGTCCCCTCCAGTACTTCCACTGCTTGAGGATTTACCTCATCATCAACTTACTCAAATATAAGGCTGCTTACCCCAGCACTGCTGGTAATAGCGAACGTCAGGAAAACACCTACAAGTCCACAAACAGAAGATGTTACATGATTTAGGATACAGCCACCTTACTGAGGAAGACTTTCATGTGTGAGTACAGAAAGGTGTCCAAAACAGACTAATAAGTCAAAAAAGCAAAGTACAATATGATCTTAATTTGTACATTTTTGGAAAGATGTGTATAGAAGGATACTTAAAATATTAACACAGTAGTTATTACTGGTGAGGAAACTTAGGGGAAGGAATACTTTTCATTTTACATGTTTCTGAATTTGCGATTTTAACTTTCTAGAAATAAAATGTTTTAAAAACCCTAATGACGTAGCGCTCTGAATTCTTAGGAGGACAAGGAAGGTTCAACTCACTCCAGCTTGTACTTCCTATTATCCTCTAGGCGAGGAGTCAGCAAATAATGAGAGGGCCGCCCGAGAAGCTGCGGAGGAGGGGACCCGGGGCCTGAGCTGGTCCTGGCCCTTATTTCCTCTCACCAGGCCCACCAGGATGGTGTCCTTCCTCACTGCCTTCCCCGCCTGTCAGATGAGATGCCACATTAATCTGGAGCACAAATCTACGACGCCTGGTTTGAATCTTCAGTAGCTCCCTCAGAGGACACCCCCCCACTCCCGTACCGGGATGCTGCGTCCTCTGTATTGTGGCTTTCCCCACCTTTCCTGCTCTTGCTTCCTACCTTGGATTTCTGTTCCAGCCCCACCAAACTGAGTGGACCTCCAAGAGCTGATGCTATTTCTTGGCACCCCATCCTTACACACACTCTTCCTATAGTCCCCTCCTTCCTCCTCCCTTTCATACTGGAAGATTCATCATTGGCATAGGCCCTTAACAAGCCTTCTGACTCCTCCAGGATTCACGAGGTCTCTCCTACCATGTCCTTACCAGTCTGTCTCTTTCCCTTATTAGCCTATAAACTCAAATACATACTTAGACATATTTTAAAATCGGATCCTAACCTTTTTTCATGGTTGCAGTCTCTCTCCTCTCTGTGCATACTGTTTCATCCAAGTGGCTTTTCTGCTCTTCTGTTTTGTGATTTCTTACCAGGGGCTTTCTTCATATGTTTAGTGACCTTGGTTATCCAGTCTATGAACTAACTAGGTTCTTTTTTGGGGAGTCCCTAATGACTATTCTCTTGGGCTGGTCAGACACTCAAGAAAAGGTACCTCTATTTTCTTTCACTGCCAGTTTAGAAGCCAGTGCGGGAAGGCGAGGGTGGGGTCTTAGTATTATTCAGTGTGTGAACTTTCTCTTAAACCCTATTTTCAGTATGGTTCCCTCCCTCAAACTCCTGCAGTGTGCCGGTGTCCTTCCTGTCTCAGATACTCTCTGGCTTATTCTTTCCTAAGAATAAATCTTGGGAAAGAGCAACCTTTTGTCTTCCAAGATGAAGAAGGGTAGTTACCTGTCTGCTTAGACTTGGGGGAGAGAACTATAAGGGATGTCCTTAAATAGACTTTTTTTTTTTTTACCCAGTCTTTGTTTTTTTTTTTTTAAATATATCTTTATTGATTTCAGAAAGAGGAAAGGAGNTACCCAGTCTTTGTTGTTTTTTTTTAAAATATATCTTTATTGATTTCAGAAAGAGGAAAGGAGGGGGAGAGAGAGAGATAGAAACATCAATGATGAGAGAGTCATTGATCAAGCCTGCAACCAGGCATGTGCCCTGCCGGGGAATTGAACCCCGATCGCCTGGATCCTAGGTCGATGCTCAACCGCTGAGCCATGCCCGGCCGGGCTAAATAGACTTTTAAGTAATCCTCCTGGTCTCAGTCCCCCTTCACCTATTTCCAGAGGTCCCTGGCACTGCCAATTCCTGAGACTTGGGGGGAGGCCACGGTCGAAAGCAGCTGCTTCTGGCTGCTTCCTGGGGCTGGTAGGTGGGTTAGGCCTTGGCCATCTGGTTTGTGGCAGTTATCTCCTCTCCTGTTCTTTTTGATTTTGTATTCAAAAAACAAAACAAGTTTTCACTGTTCTTTTAGAGAAACAGAGACAAACACAAGTAATCAACCCTCTATCTTTCACAGGAGACAGCTCTTGAGTACACTTCACAACAATCTTATGATGTAAATATTATTAGTTCTATTTCACAAGAGAAAGAGAGGCTCAGAGAAGCTAAACTGTTTGACCAAGGTCACCCAGTCAGTACACTACAGAGCTACAGTTTAATTCCATTGTTTGAGGTTCATTATTATTATTCATGTATTAGAGAATCAAAAAATTAAGGCTTAGAACGGTTATGCATTCACCAAGATTACAAGGCAAGCAGGCATCAGCATGAGATTTGAATCTAAGGCTACCTGACTTCAAAGTCCATGTTCTCTCTGGTATACCTCACTGCCCATCTTAAGGACAGCCAAATGCAACTGCTCTACTGGGGCTTGAGAACATACTTCCAGGGGTCCAAGAAATGCCTGTTTTCATTTTTCCATCTTTTTCTTCCTTTCTTTCAAATACATCTTTATTAATTTCAGAGAGAGGAAGGGAGAGGGAGAGAGAGAGACAGAAACATCAATGATGACAGTCATTGATCGGCTGCCTCCTGCACGCCCCTGACTGGGGATCAATCCTGCAACCCAGCCTGGCCGGTGTGGATCAGCGGTTGAGCATTGATCTATGATCCATGCGATTGGGGTTCGATTCCCGGTCAGGGCACAAGCCCGGGTTGTGGGCTCTATCCCCAGCCGGGGGTGTGCAGGGGGCAGCCAATCAATGACTCTCTCATCATTGATGTTTCTCTCTCTGTCCCCCTCACCTTTCCTCTCTCTGAAATCAATAAAGATATGGGTTTAAAAAAAAAAAAACCCCAAAAAACAACCCTCCAACCCAGGCACTTGCCCTGGCCAGGAATCCAACTGCAATCTCCTGGATCCTAGGTTGATGTTCAACTGCTGAACCATGCCCCGCCCGGCCATCTTTTTCTTGAAACCAGTATACAGTGGTACCTCGGTTTTCGAACGTCTGTTTATGAACATTTTGGTTTACGAATGCCATAAACCCGGAAGTAAATGCTTCAGTTTTCGAACACACCTGGGAAGTAGAACGTGCCACACCGCTTCCACTGAGGGCAAGATCCTGAGGCCCAGCTGTTGGCTGTTGATCCCTCGGTTCTCCAACGTTTCAGAACTCAGTCTTCCGGAACGGATCACATTCAAAAACTGAGGTACCACTGCATTTGTAATCCAGCACTGCCCTGGGACTGCAGGGCCTGCATTTGCATTTGTGCTTGGGATCTCACGGCTGCGGAGAATTGCTATTTCATGAGCACAGGCTAATGAGAACAGAACAGGCTGCCTCACACCACCTGCAGCCAAATCAAGTCAGGGTCTAATGTGTGAACAAAGGATTTGCCGCTGTGGGAAAAGTGGAGGAAGCGTCAGGTCCCCCCACACCAAGTGAATCTAGTCTGGCTAAACTCAAAGGGAGGTGGGCCATTAACAGTCAGAACTTTCAGAGGAGCAATTCCCTGTCTGCAAAGCCTTCAAGAGCATGTGTGCTCACTGGAATGTTACAGTACTAGCAATTTGTTTTCACTTACTGTGTTTTGGTTTTTGATGGTTAAATAAGAGCTATAAGCTGAGGGGCTTACACCTAGTCTGTGGGTAAAAATAACTCGTGCAAACATGGGATCAGGAGGCTTCTGGCTGTGGATTTTAGTTCTCTTTACAGAGTCTGTTTTGAAACTCAGGCTAGCCCAAGACTGGCCAGAAGGACGACAATCCGCTGCTCTGATGCCGCGTTAGCACAGCGACTGCGGGGGTCAATCCTGTGGGCACCTTCTCGGGCGCCTTCCGGGCCTCCCACATCACCCTCCGAACCTCGTGAACTTGGGTTTTCCCTTCTAAGCGGTGGGCAGTGGGGGAGGCGGGAGAGCGAAGCGAGGCCCCCTATCTTCCAGGGGAAACACCGTGGCTCGGGACGCCCGACCAGCTCCAGATAACTGGGGCGCAG